GTAACCATTTTTAATAGTAACTTAATTAAGTATTTTATTGTAAATAATATCGTATTTTAGCATTTTATTGTAAATAATATATTTTTAGCATTCTGATTACTTTTAAGCTGAGGGCCCCAAGTTTATCAGTAACTTTAGTTACTGTCACGGGTCACCCTCATTAAATAAAGTCTTTCACTTCACTTCACATCATTACAATTCTGCATGCAAAGTTACTAAGGTCACCCAAAAAAGTGTGGAGACAATCCAGTTACAAAGCCTTGCAATCAGCAGTTGTGGTTTACTTTCAGAGCTGTTTGGAACTGGCATGGTAAGAACTCCATTCCCAGGGGCTCCTCACTTTCTGTCCAACTTTTTTTTTGCTGGTTTTTCTTCACTTAAACTTTTTCTCGCTTCCTTAGACTATAGTAGTCCCTCTTTTGCTTAGTCCGTCGAGCGAGACCGGAAATAAACCACAATTCACAATCCACTCGGCTATCACCCGATGGATCAACAGCTACTTCGACAATGTTATGATGAAATTCATCATCAATAACAGGACAGATGCATGAAAAACTGATGTCAATTTGTTAAGTGTTATTGGAAACAATTCTGACATTGATACTGTGCTTTTATTTTAGACTTATTAAAGAGTTATTCCATAATGCAAGGAATCAGCAAGTACAATCTGTGAGTATAATGTCCTTTTACACTAACCGTTGTTTCAAATTCAAGAGATTAAAATACAATTCCTTTTTTTTCAATAAGATATCTATTGTTTTAACTTAAATGACTTGAGGTCTCGGCAAAAACAGCTGGTTATTAAGATCAACAATGAGCTTTGTAACAATGGATTTGAAACTTCTGTGTCCACAGTATGGGGATACTGTAAACCACGGCTTATAAGTCCCCCTCCCCCCGCTTATAGGCCCATCTACCTGTAAACAGAATATTTCTTTCGATTATAAGCCCCTCCCAGATATAAGCCCCCTCTGATTTAAAATGAAAAGAATTAGATTTGAAATGAATTTAAAGCTTAATTTAAAACTAGTATATGAAACACGTATTTTGGTGAACACTGTGGAGCTCATTTCAAAACGGTTTTTTCATGTCGCTTTTAGGTCCTACTGGTTGTAATCCCTTCAGTTTATAGGCGCATGCAAATCCCTCTTATGACACTTCACGGTGCTGTTATTTGTGATGTGGGGATTTTATGAATATGGTTTCCCAGGAACCAGGTGATCTTACTAGTCCGAGATATGAAGGTGTCCGTATTATGGAGGTGTCTATAAGGAGAGGTTTGACTGTAATAAAATAGATATTCATTTCCTTTCATTTTATAGGTAATATTCATAGATGAAATTGATAGCATCTGTAGAAAAAGAAGTTCGCGTGAAGAAGAGTACACACGGAGAATAAAGACTGAGTTGCTGAAACAGGTCAGCAGAGTTTGTTATATCATTTAAAGCCTGATTCTCCTGAGTGCAATAATGCTATATGTAGTTAAATCTGAGAACACTTGATTTCAAGAGCCAAGGTTTGTATGCCACAGTACGTTTTTAAGAACAACAAACGGCTCCCGGGAGGTACTCCCTTATTTGGTCTATACGGAGACGTGCCGCTGGACGGAGTATTGTTTTTTAACCTTGCTGTCCTGAACAGGGTATACGATTTTACTCGCCTCTGTCCTAAACGGGGTCAGAACCTGTCCTAAACAGGGTATGGTTACATGACCTATACAAGTTTAGCCTGCGAGCAGCCTCATCCCACGCGCGAGCGACGAAGAGCGAGTCGGTGAGCGAAGCGATCCGGTTTAAATTCCTTTAAATATGAAGAGGGTGTGAATTTTGTCTAATAGGGTCTTAAAATAGAGGGTGTTGTCTTACACAGGGTAGGGTTTTTAGAGTATTTTTTGTCCTAAACAGGGTCAGGATTTCAAACCCTTCAGCGGCACCCCTATACCCAGACATGGATCAGGTACCCCCCGGTTTTGTTTTCCCTGTTTCTGATTGACGCCCTTGTTTTAAGATGAACTACATTTATGCCTTTGCAAACGATGGAAAGAAAATTAATGTTCAGAATGATATAGTTTCGATACATACTGGCTGGGGTAACTTTACACTGTTAACACTGTCATTGGTACTAAATTTTGACCTAATTCTAGAGTTTTGTATTGGACTCTTGGACTGTTTTCGTTTTGAAATTTTTTGGCTAAGTGTTTGTTGTTCTGTTGATAGATCAAGTTAAACGAGACATTTTGTTAGTGTTTATGAGCTCATTAGGGCCTGTTTAGCCAGTACAACTTTGTCGCATGTGACAAGCTTATGTCTCGACTTGTTTCGTTTAAATCAAGCAACTTTGTGACGACTGTCGCACACGACACGAAGAATGCCCTGACATTTTGAAACATGTCACAAAACCCTACGATAACCGCAGAGTCAGACCATGTCACGTTTTACCGAGATAGTTATTGCTACTATATTCGAGTGTGACTATGGACTTTTGGTGTTTGTTGCTAATGCAATATGACAAATCTATAGAGATTTAGCCACCATGCATGTGGTCACACTTGATAGCATGATGGAGTGTTTCTCTTGGTACGTTTAACAGGTTGATTGACGTGAAATCAACTATGCCATAAGGACTTTCTCAAATAACATCAGCAGGTGACATACATTGTGTGATGTAACTGCAGTCCTTTGAACACACAGCCTGTCTATGATATAATTGAAACTTGTCGGATTTGTCTCTTAATGACCAAAAAAAGTAAAGAACTTTATTAATGTGTCAAGCTTTTAGCCAGCCTATGAGGCTCACTAATCGGGGTCACATTCCAGATCGAATTAGATTTGGAGTGTTGGTTTTGAGGAGGGAGGAATTAAAACCAGAGAACCCGGAGAAAAATCCTCGGAGCAACGCGAGAACCAACCCTCTAATGACGTGGTGGCCGGCTAGTAATCTCACCCACTGCACCACCCTGCTTATCCCGGTTGACCACCCAACTGACAAGACTCTTTTGAAAACTGTAGATGGAGGAGGCTGATCACAATTCACCTCGTCAACACTTCATTCTGCTGTGTGCTACCAACTGCCCCTGGGAACTAGACACTGCCTTCCTAAGACGATTTCAGAAAAGAATATATATTCCACTACCAGACAAGTAAGTTATATGAAGCGGATCCTAGAATTTTCTAACATAGATCATGGAATCTCGTCATGGAATAGGCACAGTTCTAATCTTCAAAAGACATTGACTATCTTTTCGCTCGTCCATCTGACTCTTTCTGAAAATTGCTTAGTCTGTACTATAAATGTAGCGTTGCTGTGCTAATTGTCAATCCACGGCAGTCATGTTTGTTCAGTAAAAATGAAAACATGTTTATCTACAGGTGCAAATTATGTCCATTTTAAACTTGTTTCCGGCTTACAGTTTTTTTTCAATGTCGCTGGTCTGCGTCTCTCTGATAAAACGAAGTAGGCTTTGCTTCATTTTGTTTTGTTCCGCAAAATTAAAATCCTGCTCAAGAGACTAAGTGACAACTAGGCATTTAAAGAGTTGTATAATTGACTTTTTACAGAGAGGCACGCATCACACTGATAAAGATGCACTTGGCAGCCACCCCTGCATCACTGACCATAGAGGACTGGTGTTTGCTAGGTCAGAAAACAGAGGGTTTCTCAGGGAGTGATCTGTCAAACTGTACTTCAGACGCCATGTTTGAACCAATCCGTGAACTTGAGAAAAACGCTCACTGGAAGCTTAATGAAGGTCAGTAACAGGAACATGGTAAATTGTTGTTAACTTGAGAAGTGTGCCTGCAAGTCGAAGAATAGACGTCTTTAGCTTGGGCGGTTTGTTTCCCATTGTAGACCACTGGAGAATTTTTCTTTTATCCATCTTAAAGGGTTCAGTCACGGTATTTTGAGATATTTTGGCCACATACAAGATTACCTTTAAATGGTAGGAAACCTGAAAATAACAGTTTAATGAGATATAAAAACAACAAAGAGATAATAATAAACCATAACGGAACAAGGATGGCTAAGGATGGAGAAGATTAACACGGATTACAAACGACGAATTTGAAAAATTGAGGCTAAACTTTTCAATATACGCAAACCGTGACTGAGCTCCTTTAAAATTATTCACTCATATACATGCGACTATCTAAAAATTTGAAAGGAAGAATTCTCAAGAGTATCATCACGTGGTCTGCAATGGGAAAACAAATCGCCCAAGCTAAAGAGTTGTGTTTGCGTAGCTGTGTAACTGAATGAAACCGATAAAACTTACGAATAGCCCTGTAAACAGCATCAGAATGGGTAAAACGGAATTACAAATACTACTCGCTTCCAGTAAATAAACCGACAAACTATTCGTACATACTTCTTATCCGTACATTGACATCCGGTTTGACAGACGTTTCTACAAAATGGAATAATAAACCATTTTTTTCATATCCTCAGGCCGGGACTGGACTGGAGCTAGCTTACAATGGAAGCTATTGTGGGAACTACCATAAGAAATAGTTATATTATACGACAGTTACATAATTATATGATAGAGTTTCCGCATCATCCGCTATTGCAAACAGTAGTTCCGGTTCAATTTGAGAATACAAAAATTGCACATCTACGAAAAAAGATTGCCAAACCACGGGTGGCGAAAAGCAAGAATTTTCAATTACTCCTCAATGGCATTAGATATATAAGAGAGATTTTCAGTGCTATTGTTGCATCTTCATTTTAACTTTTAAAAGTTGTTGTATATTGTTTCGGGATCTGTTATTCCTTGTGATTGTTCTTGCATTTTCCAGATCTGAATAACGAATCTAGGAAAAGATAAAGGGGCTTAGGCCTGAGGTTACAAATATGTTTTTTTTTTCAGATTTGTTTTATGTGCCTTGCCAAGCGATCGACGAGAACTGCATAAACTCATCTATGAAAGATCTCCCACCGGGAAAGGTATGTTGACTGTTAGAGGCTGAGTGTGTCGTCCACTAGAAAGCAAATTGTTTCATTTCGATGCGGAAAGTTCACTAGGAGAAGTTCAATGGCCGTAATTCAATCGCATACTTCTTTTGCAAAACTACGATTCAAGTTGATAAGGGAAGGGGGTGAGTGGTTGGAACGCCGGAGAATCGGGTGGCTGTTAACACCTTTTCTCCGGCAAGCTTGTACAACATCAAAGAAATAGGGAATAAACCCAGTTTGTAAAAGTATCAAGTTTCGTGTCTAGTTCTTCATTTAATTTCGTGCTGTAATAAAGGGTATTGCGTTGGAATTGGCTCCTTTTCTCATTGAAAACAACAACAACAACAACAAGAACAGCAAAAACAAATAAAAAAAAGACTCGTGCTGTTTACTAGAGTCTAACTCTGACTCGTCTATTTTTTTCAAATTTATGATAGTTGTGCTAATTTGACGAGGGGGCCTCTTCGGTCTGCGAAAGAATATCAGGCGATCATGTATTCGTTTGTTGTTTTCAATATAGATTCAACCTCGCCCCGTGAAAGTTGATGATTTCCTGAACATATTGTCACACCATACCAGCACTGTAGCAAAGGAAGACCTGCAAAGATTTGAACAGTTTACCATCAATCTTGGGCAGAGAGGATAGTTCTCAACAGCAAACCTGTCTTGATGGTCTGTCACAACAGGGCGTTAAATGAGTGTCCCAGTCGGATTGGAGTCCAGGGGCCCGTTTCTAGAGGGTCCCGAAAAGTTCTCGCACCCGGAAAGCCGTAGCAAAATCTTAAAACTTATGATTACAGCCGCGCTGTTTTATTCACAAATTCTTCATATGAACAGAGGCTCTCTTCACACAAGAAGTTTCAGGCACATACACACCTCTGTTTTTAGGGTTAGGCTTTGCGGAAAATGGCTTTGCGGACCCGAAAAGTTTCCGGGGCTTTCGGGAAACGGGCCCCAGGTCCATTTATCTTTCAGTGAGACTGACCACAAACAGTCCTTTGCGCCCTTTGAGATCCTTCAATCCAACTTGCACTATAACACGGATAGTGTTGGAATCTTGATAAACTGATCATATTTTTACCAAGTTTATTTGGATGAAATGAACGAAATATGAAAGTGGTAGTATATAAATAAGAATGGTACCAGCGTAAAATAAAACCATATTTTACCTTCATCTTTGATCTTACATTTATATTGAGTACTGTCAGCGTCCCTCTCGCGGAGTTTTCAACTAAGAATAAAGTTATTTACAGTGGAATTTACTATGTACACAATTGTCAAAATGTGCCGAGGTTTACCAGAAAAGTAAGCATTCCTTTGCGCGTTTATTACTCCGTGGAACGCGGCCTGAAAAGACGGAAAGCTCAACTTGTCAAACTGGTGTTACTCTTCTTTCCATAAATAAAGTGATTTTGCCAAACTTTGAAGTAGATAGTGGGCAATAAAAACTACAATTTTATTCTGTGAGTTCTGCATTTTTTGCTTCACTGAAAGATTCCGGCGAGAAACAAATGTTAAACAAATATTGGCTCCCTTCTATCGTCCAAACGAGGAGGTACCGAGAATCTGGTCTTTGGTCTTTTATTTCTCGGACTAACTTTTGTCTAGCGCAATCTTCATCTCTAACTTTTGCTACTTCTACTTCTGCTACTTGACTGACAAAAACGGCGCACACGCACTTAAATAGCATATCGGTAGCTATGTGTGGGCCACACGGGACGACTGACGTTGGAGGACTGACCTTGGAGGACTAAACTTCTTTACAGGACACTAACCTAAACACTTTCATGCGACTTCCAGAAGCGAACGATAAAGTGCAAAACCCAAACAAGACCTTTCGTGGGAGATCCAGACCAAGGCCAGTAGACAAACCCAAACATGACCACCGATGGGGTATTGTTCAGAGCTTAGTGCTCTCCACAGACCTTACGATAAACAACTTGAAGTCACAAGACTCTCTGTGTGGGCAGTCGAGCCCTAGACACAAGACTAATGTGCATTTTGGCTACAAAATGATAAAAAAATTGATGATCACGAACCGAAAATATAGTAAAAAGCTGCGTGTAAGAGCCTAGTAGTTTACGAACCTATCTTCTTCATGGAAATTAAGAACCTAATTTGGAACCTTCTTATAGCCTAAATCGCCAATGACTACCTCAAAATACAAGAACCTATTTTGCCTGACTTAAAAAAAAAATGTAGGTTCTTAATACACGCGGGTTTTTATTGGGCTCAATTCTATAGAGATTATTGAATTTCATAACGCAAACGTTGACTGGGCAAAAAACGAGTTGAACTTTTCACCATACCGCATTCCGTTTTCCTGTATTTGTTCTTCAGTATTTGCTTGTTTGTTATGTATATATTCTCGAGCACAGGTTATTTACTAAGTAACTGATTGAGAATAAAAAGTTTTCTACAATGCCAAAAGAATGATACCGAATGTGCATGGCTGCATGGACAAGTGTATTTGATACTTTTGCGGAGAAGGTCCGCTTTTTTGGAAACCCGCCTCAGACTGAACGCCGAAGAGCGCTCAGCAAAGAACTCTGGGACTACCGTGATGTAGTTGATGACGTCATATTGACGGACTGTTGATCGGCCATGTTGCCATATTGATCACAATTGATTGATCAGTGTTCACTCCAATTCAATGTATTTTGAAAGTACTTTTCGTAGGATGATGGGTTTTACACGTTTAGGTTACTCCTGACCAAGATTTGGACAATGTCGGTGTTGTTTGACCCGCATGAAGTCGGTATAAATGGTCAGGCGAGTTTGCGAAGGGTGCCGAAGATTAGAAGAAAGGAGGATGACTTACTCGTGTTCGGATACGCGTGCAAGTTTTTTGAGAACAGCGGAAAGGGTGCGTTCTTTGATGAAGAAAAGAGTCTGATACCATGGATGGGCGACGAATCCCTTCTTATCGACAGGTCTGTTTAATATTTGGTAGATTAAGATTAAATAAAACTTGCTTGTTGACGTTGGAACCACGTTTCATTTGTTGTTTGTTGTTATTGTGAGTGGAGGAATACTCCTCAGTTTATTTCAGAACTGCCATTTGCTGACTTACCCTCAAAGGGTATTGGAGATTAAGCTGTGAAATATTTTTCCCGGAACTTAAAGAGTAAGACGATTAGAACTTTTGAAGTTCACAATATTTGCCAATATATGGAGTCAAGGGTATGAGGTCTTTTTAGAAATACATTTTATATTCCCCACTGCGGCGAAAAACTTTGGAGCGCTGTTGGCAGAAGTTAGGAATTGAACATGGTAAGTTACTTGTGTCGATCAGGACGGGAAAAGTAATGCACGTAAGTAGTGTAATTTACAAAATTAAATGTTAATTTTGTTGCTCAATGTACCTGATGTTGTGAACATAATTTTCATGTTGATATTTTATTGTAAACTGGACACAAGGGGGAGAGATTTTAGAAACATTTCATCTGTGAATGAAAACTGAAAATTATTATTGTCATAATTAGACGCATTAGACAGTTCGTTTTGTACCAGGTCAACTGCTGGCGTTGCATGTTGGTATAACCTGTTGACAAGTGGTATGTGGCTTTTCAGGTTTGACGCACGTCTGTATTTTACTGACAAGGCTCAGTTTATACATAAACCTACTGAAGTGGCACCGTCCCTCACTCCAGAGGAGGAGGAGATGGAGAGACACTGTGATGAAGAAAGGTACATAGATCTCCATCGAGACTCTGCAGAGTATGACATACAACAGGGTAAGATCCAGCAAACCAAACTACTTATTATGTTGATACAGAAATATCCATACCTTGTCCAGGGACCTTCTATAGCTCTGGGAGAATAGTATATGAGAAAGTTTACCATTGCTGTAAAACCTGCCATTTTCTTGTGCTACTTTAATGACAAAATGACTGTCCATTTAGTGATCCTCAAAAAATCTGAAAATTGTAAAATGTGTTGTAATAATAAATATTTTTAAGTTCATATTCATTTGAAAGTATAATGACATGGAAATAGAAGTACTCTTTAACAGTCATGGTATTCTCTCTATTCAGAGGAGGAAATGAAACGTTTCCAACAAGAACTCCGTGAAGATGGTGCATATAATTCAGTGGCATTCAACTATCAATACAGTGCTCCAGAACATCACTTTCAGCATCCACAAACTTCTTCCACTTACAACCCAACTTGGACTGAAGGTATGTGAATATATGTATCGGGGGGGGGNGAAGGAATCCCATATAAAAAGGATAGGAGTGCCCTTTGGAAATTTTGAAAAGAACCCCTAAGAGGTACCAAGATCTTGTTTTGTGAGCATGGCTTGAAATTTACCAATTCTAAAACAATACTTTGACTTACACTTTCATAAAAATTATTCTTAACAGCAATAAAGATGATTACAGTTGTAAATGAAACAAAATTTTTAAAATAGTTGATTGTCAAATATCTCCCGACATCTTTTTTTTTTAGGCACAATACAATAGAAGGTATTGCAAAAGCTCCGGCTGGAGACCTTTTGAGTCTGAACACTCCCACTTTGTGGGAGGCACGTTGGCCTCATGGTTAATGCGCTTGACTCTGGAGTGAGTGGTTTGGGTTAGAGCCCTAGCCTGAGACATTGTGTTGTGTTCTTGGGCAAGACACTTTACTCTCACAGTGCCTCTCTTCACCCAGGTGTATAAATGGGTACCAGCGAATTTAATGCTGGGGGTAACCCTGCAATGGACTAGTATCCCATCCAGGGGAGAGTAGAAACACTCCTGGTCGTTTCATGCTACTGAAACCGGATAAGCTCTGGCCTGACGAGCCACTTGGCTCGTATGCAGACTTTACCTTTTACCTTACTCTAAGAGGCACCAAAATGGCCTTTTTAACCCCTAAAAGGTACAACAAGCACCCCTGTCCGTTTTATATGGAGTCCCTACTGGGATATGTATTATATACATTTGTCAAACAAATAAAAGAGACTTGTTTCTTCTTAGTGACTGGGAGAAGAATCTTGAAATGCAGGACAGCTTTTCCTGCACCCCAATGCTTTCAGTAACTGCCAAGGAAGCTGGTAGAGTTGAGGATAAAGTAGTTTATAAGCTATTTGAGCTGCATTTGAAAGAGAAAAAAATTATAATAGTATTGTGCCTCTAAAAATCAAATAGCCATCAAACATACAATGTGCACTAAATAGACATTGTTTATTATACTGTTGTGTTCAGAGAATTTAATTCCTTTTTCCTTAACTCCGTAGATTTCTTTTTGCATTCGGTAGAACGCAGTTCTAATCGTGTAATGCATAAAAATGCGAGATCTGTGTATGTATCTATCTATCAGGGAACACAAATGTGGCCCCCCAACAAATTCTTCAGGGGCGAATGACATCATGTCCATGTTTGTCCATGTGCTTTCTTTCGAGTGTTGTGCAATATTGCGGACTTTTGAGTGTCAAGGAAGCTTATTGTGGACTCTAGCGGATACTGAAGTTGTTTATTTAAAGTTCGAAGTCAGTGTTAATGGCATTTAAAAACCTTGTAGACATGTTTTCACGAAATGTGTAGGACTTTTCGGACGTACAGAAAGCTGTAGTTTGTGTTGTGTTGTGTACCCTCTTCTCTTCAACTGAAATCAATACTGCTTTCTGCTGACTAAATCAAAGGAGGAAATGAGTTTCACTTCGCTGGCCTAGATTTCTATCCGCAAACTACAGTATGTAACGTAAACCCAACGAAAGTGTTTACATAGGAAATGAGTTCGACTCCCACAGGGTTGCTTTGGTACACAAACATATGCTCCTTTGCACTGTTTCGGAAATGAAAATGCCCTGTAGCTGTTAGCCTAAGCCAAGGCATTTCAAAGTCATGTTCGTGAACAAAATAATTTTCCTAGTTTTGGTACTAAAAGCACGTCGTCTCGCATACCGACAGAACAAACATGGCTGGTGTCGATTTACACGGTCAGTATAAAACACGCACTGCGGACTGCAGACTACGGACTACAGACTACGGACTGGACTGCTCAGTCTGGGCGCCGACTCGGGTGTAAAATGGGGATTGCGGACAAAATGCGTCCTCCCGATTGCAGTCCATGTTTTTTACTGACCGGTCGTAACTAATATTACACAATATATGTATAAATGAGAACAAACCCTCTCGTATGCAAGTGCTTTGCGATCAATTCATTTGTTTTTGTCCTGGCTGCTGAAGGGAGGCCAATTTCACGCCTGCCTAACAGCTCAGGCACAAATGCTTTCCCTATAATTTTTTTTTTCATACCAAGCCTACTTTGGGATCAATTCATTTGTTTTCACCCCTGCTGAAAGGAGACCCGATTTCATGCCTACCTAACAGCTCAGGCACAAAATGCTGTCCCTAGAATTTTTGTTTTTTAACATACCAAGCCCACCAAAACTCGAACGTACTCTTTAATCTACGATTACTACTAGTTGTATGTGTAATGTTCATTCATTTTTCACAGGATCAGGTTTATACCAAGCTCAACAAGCTGGCCCAACTCTTGCACCAAGTGTCCAGGAAATGAACTCATCTCCTCCTCAACCACCTCCATTTCAACAACCAGAGCCTTTTGTTCCCCCAGAAGAGCTGGAAATTCCTCCAGAAATGGAGATTGTAAGTATCACAGGTTCTAACAGCAACTTTTCATTTAAAATGCCCTCAATTTTATATTGATAATATCGTTTTATCTGCTAATGTGTGTTGATGTTTATTTCAGCAGTCAGTATCATTGTCAGAAAGACATTTTGAGGACTACATGTACTACAATTTTCTGTTTGTTTGGTTTTCTTTCTTGCTAGTAGAAACTCCTTTATGACAGAAAATGTACACATAATAATGTTGAACTTTTTTCTTCTTACTTTTTCTCAACTCAAAAGTACTCACTCATTTCAATTAACCACTGGAGATAAAATGTTAACCATATTTTTGTGGGAAAAACCAATAAATTAATGTGGTAAACGAATCAGCTGAAACGTTATTCATTGCCATATGATGATATGAAATCTATTACAATGATTGTAAAGGAATCAAAAAAGAACATTGCACCACGATCAGAAGAGAGTTAAGCAACAAAACATAATTTACGGCATGAACATTTAAAGGATAACTGAGAAAGCTGCACTAATGAATGCATTTAGAAAAGATAGCACAGAAGTGTTGTCATTGAACAATGATAAAAGGAAGAAAACAATTTCTGGAAGGAAATCCATGTTGCACCAATCCTGCTTTGAAAGTCCAGGAATCTAAGCAAGCCTGAAAACAATCAGTTCAATTTTTCCTAATCTAAAAAATAGAAGTCTAAAATATAGGTATACATATCCTAGATAACTGGGTGTCGATAGTGTACATAGCTATACTAACTTGTCAAGACGGTCTCTTTCTTCAGTAGGAAATCCAGTACATACAGTAAGAGATGCTCATGAATGGCAGAGACTTCAAATGCAAATGTAATCTCATGGACAAGTGTTTCATTCAATTTGCAATGTACAGTATCTTACAGCTGTACAATGTGTGTGCTCCGTTAAGACTACTGAGTCACTAGATCTTAGTTCTTTTTTGTAATATCTGTTTAAAATATGATATGGTAAATGGGTATGTACAGCTGTAATGTTTTTTTTTTCAAGTGAATCATTTGTTACAATTTACAGTATTGTCTTTTTCTTACATTTGGAAAAGGCCTTTTCTTTTAGTGGAGACATGCAAAACAAAGCATATGAGATTGGTTAATTGTAATAATGGGGTTGTAAGGATTACTCTTGACAAAGAAACTTATATGGTATATTGTATTCATACATTGCATGTTTTCTCACTAAAAGTGGGGGCTTTTTTTAGACTTTGGAGCTTAAGAGGGATAAACTTTTAACAGAAATTCCACTTACATTGTAAGTGAAGCTCAAGTGTTGAAGAAAGCTTCATGGCCAAAAAATGTGAACATGCTAAGCTTTCTTGTCATTGTGAGGTCACATATTATTTCATAGAATCATGCTATTTACGAAAACACTGTAGTTTCATTTTGTATAAATTTCTAGCTTGCGTTCCTTCTTTTCTTTTTCAAAGATTTTGGTCATAATAATTATTTTGATACATTGGAATCCATTCGCTAAAATTTGAACTGATTATCTCCTGAAATATAGAAAAGAAGGCCAATGTAAGTGTGACTTGTGTCTTTGTTCAGTTATTATAACACAGTGGGAGCAGTGGACTGATAATAATATATGTTTTTCCTTTGTGTTTGTCATGTAGCCTGAGACAGCCAAGATGCAAGCTATTATTGAAAGGACCGCTGTGTTTGTTGCTAAGCAAGGGAAACAAATGGAAATCTTAGTAAAGGCCAAGCAATCAGGAAATCCTCAATTTGACTTTCTCCTCATGGACAATTGGTTGAACCCTTATTATAAACATGTCTTGAAATATGTAACTGAGGGAAAGTACATTCCAGAAATACCAAAACAACCATCGCCTGAACCCCAGGAAGAAGCAGAACAGACAGAGAGTGAAGATGAGTCTGATGGAGAGTATGAACTGCATCCATTGTTGCAAGCGTCACTTCATAAGAAGGTTGTAAGGTCACAGCCATCATCCGCTTCATCATCTCCATTACCAGATACTCTTGGTAACAAGTTTAGTCGTACTTTTGCTCTAATAACGGGATCGTCATCATCAGATGCTGCTCCACAGGAGCATGAAGGCAGCTATCATTCTCATTACAATGAAGTGGATGAAGCATTTGATTACAGCATGTGGTATCCACAAGGTATGCACCGCTTGTTGTGTTTACTTAAAGGCAGGATGAAAACCATGATTAGTTTGGAGGGCTTTTATTAAGGGCCAGACACCAGACAAACTGACTTGCCGTGGGGATGATTTTGCCCACCTGGTTTGACAATCTAGGGGAAAGTTTCTCTTATAAAGAAGTTCAGTTCAAAATGTTTTGGCGGGCTGAGAAAACCAGTTACCCACCTGCTGAAAACATCAATGAAACTCCTGAGTTTGTGGGTGAAGGTTCTAAGGAATTTCATTTTGTTTTCTTGAATACAACTTATTTGACGTTTGTCATAGAAAACGTAACCATATTGAGATTTAAATTCGTAATAGCTGTTCATAACTTGTTAATGTAAATGTATATATCTAACCGATTTTCCAAAAACATGCCCGCTATTTTGGTACAAAGTCTTTAACACGGTTTTCATAAATTCAGACATATATTGGCACGGAATGTCCTAAACTGCTCAGGNTGTTTGGCTGCTCTTTTGAAGGTTCACCTGGTAAGTGAAATGAAGAGAGTTAATAAAACAACTCGATTGAGATCGAGAAGCAGGAGGTAACCGAATCAAAAACACGGACGTCCCCTTAAGTTTTTCAGTTCTTCATATTTGTTTTAGGCAAAACGTAATATTCCGATAACAACTAAACCTTGGTGATTCCTTCACTCAAGGGAAGGAATCGATCTAAGAACAAATTTTTTTTTTTGTTCAGTCTTGCGCTGATAAACTGTGGTGATTCCTAAACTCTCGGAAAGGAGGCTTTGTAGAACATGTTTTCCTTGTTTGCTCAGAAAACTGGCTGTAACTGTTGCTTTGTTTTGTTTTGTTTTTTTGAACAGAGAATTGTATCTACCCTCTCGGTCTGGAGTCTGGATATATCCCGAATGAGGCTCTCAGTCACAGTGTAGATACGGCCAACACTAAGTCGAATCCCTGGGATATCCGCCTTAACAAGGACGTCGGCGAATTCCCTAACGGCTGGCAAGCTGCCCTGGGAGAGCTAGATTACCTTCAGGTATTCATTTTTGTATAACATTCGTGAAAAACAAACACACAAACAAACAAAACAAAAACAAACAACAACAAACACGAAAAACTCATTCATGGTTGAGCCTGTATTCAGTCAAGCATTTGAACAAAGTCAGACATTCATTGTCACTTTAGGCTCGATTTCCAGCTATTTTGTGAGCCCGCGGTCCACACACACGTTTTTTAAAATTTCTTTGTATATATCTCAGGAATGTATATCTAACCGATTTTCCAAAAACATGCCCGCTATTTTGGTGCAAAGTCTTTAACACGGTTTTCATAATTTAGACATATATTGACACAGAATGTCCTAACCTACCCAGGGATATCCCTAGTTTGACTTTAAATGCTTTAGAAAGATCGACAGAAATTAGACACGCTCGTTTTTCGACCTTTTGGATCACGCAGTCTTGTTCCCTTGAAATAATATTGGCACAGAATGTCCTAAACTGCTCAGGGATATCCCTAGTTTGACTCTAAATGCTTTAGAAAGATCGACAGAAATTAGACACGCTCGTTTTTCGACCTTTCTGGGTCATGCAGTCTTGTTCCCTTGAAATATATGTCTGGATTTATGAAAACGGTGTTAAAGACTGAATCAGGTGTGTTTTGATTTATTTGTTTTTTTCATTTCTTTGTTTGTTTGTTTGTTTGTTTGTTTTTTTTTTCTGCTTTCGCTATGACAGCAGCTTGTAAATCTTACCTAGCATAAAATGTAGAAACTCCTTGCCACATGTTTCATTTATTTAGGTATTTTTTTCATTATTTATCGACTCCCCTT